AGGGCGTACAGACAGCCCGGGGAAACTCACCGTTTCCCAGCGTCACATAAGTCTTCTCAAACCAGGCCAAGAGGTCCTTGTGGCAGGCAAACGAGAGCAAGATGATCTGATCCAGACAGACGACGGTCAGCACAAAGGGGTTCTTGGGGTGGCGGATGCAGGACTCCACACCGCAGAAGTTCTGGGCCGAGATGACAATCTGTTCCCTGCGGATCTCCTTCCCTGCCAGCAGCTGGTCCTGTCCCTTGTAGAATTTCAGGACAATTTGGTCTGGAGACGAAGGAAAACAAAACAGTTTGGATTTAGTCTTTCAATGACAGAACATTCAGAGCAGAGATTGTTCTGGCACATCAAAGTATTCGATGATCATCGCTGCCAGGTCTGACGAACAATAGTAAACATTCCAAAAATTCCTAATTACTGCCTGCAGCTTAGGCGGACAAGTGGGGCCAGTGATATCGTAGGAATATTTGTGGTGTTTTCTTTGCAATTAACTACAAGGTATCACAGTGACCAAGAAACGGATAGAAAAAAATATTTAACATTAGATTTACTTTTGCCGTTTTGAATGATTTTTTAAATATTTTGATGTCCTTTTCCATTATCCATGCATATATGTTTGTAATTTTATTTTGTCACTCCAAAACATCAGTTTTCAAAGTCTATGTACGAGTTTGGCTAAGACTGGCCAACAACATGTTGAACACTACAGGACAGTTAAATTCACGAAAACCAAAATGCACTGTTTCATTACAGGGAGTGATCATGAGATTTCATAAAATACCTTTTGTATAAATTCCTTAAAAAATATGATTCAAATAAAACTCAAAATCTTACAAACAACGTGGCTATTTATTCCCAAAAGAAGTCCAGGAGAAAGCGTTTGATAAGGGCAACAACTGCACATGAACACTTCGGGTACACAGCCTAATAAAAGCAACTGAGCAAGCACTAAATTTTACGTTGTTGTCAGATCATACCGAGCACCAACGATGGCATGAATATTCAACTTCCTATACTGCAGTCCACACCATTTTAAGGATGCAGATTACCAACGAAAAATTGCCGCGATGATCATGGGATACAAAAGGGACTTATGATGGCAAAAACAGGTGGTGCGTAGCAAGCATGCACTGCGCTCTGGCTATGGACATACCGCAGGCATGCCAGAATGCGATTATTGGCCAGATGTTATAGCACTGGTAGTTTAAACGCCTTACATGTATGCGCCCTTCTCCAAGATTTTATAAACAATGTATGTTCAGGGCTGCCTGAAGGCTTGTGAAATTAAGTTCACCAGCTTCCAACCCACAACATCCTGCTTACTAGTCATGTTATTTTTATTGGCTTGTCCCTTAATCATTAACTTGAGCAACTCTAACGGCTGGTTTCAATGCTAATGACGAGGAGTTGAACAACATTTCTCTATTGATTTTTTCCTTATTTTGTGAAAATTTTCCCGACTGCAAGCTTGAGCTGTCTACCGATTCCTGCATTTTTTATTGTGCACGTACATGTACAAGTAAAGTACGCTGATCAAACAGTGTACCATACACTGTACAGGTACATTAATATCTACGTACATGTACAGTACATTAAGTGAAATATGCCATACACATGTTACTTTCAAGTTTCTCCCTTTCTGTAGGAGTGATCAAAGTGGCAATTTTGATGACAAATTAATGGTGCACAAGAACATGGAGATCTTAGAAGTTATTTCAAAATGATTTTTGGAAAATACTGTGTGGAAGCAGATCAACAAGGGATTTGAGAATGGGTTCAAATACACTAAAAACATGTTTAAATGTTCCCCATGTGTAGCCTGTTTAGCCCCTACCAGTGTCTCTTGATCAATTCGTGTAACATCACTGCCTGGGTTTTTGATATGCATGTGCACACAATGCACCTGTCACCACATCCACAGACAACCAAAATGCATCCAGCTCTCTCACTTCCATGCGATCAACTCCGCTAACCCCATGTGACACACACAAACAATTCCTTGGGCTGACTCTTCACTGCACACACCCAGCCACCTGTTCAGCCTCAGAATAAAGCCGGTTTTGATTTCCTCTCATCTCTGCTTCCAATCCTCTCTTTAGAAGGATACTCAACCTTTTTTTGCCTTTTGGGACATCACCCCTTGTTGGTGAGCAGCCTCACATGAAATCCCTGCTCTGAGCAGCGGACAACAAATCCGGCTGTTTACAATTGATTTGGTGATATTGATGGGGCACCCTTTTTTTTTCGCTTTCAAAGGGTACATGTGGGCGTGAGAAAAGCCAGTGCATGACGGGGACTTTGTCTTCTAATACACTGTGTTAGGACTAGGCCAGCTTAATTAATTAGTCAGAGGGTCCATTACAGGTAGATGCCTGGATCTTGTGTCAGATCCACTGTTGCCAATAAACAATATCCAAAACTGCATGCACATGGCCTGATGAACTCAATTCACAATGAAGACATCACATTTTGATGCCTGAAACTGAAATTTCTGAATGATTTTAAACCCCCAAGAAAAAAAATCACACATCAACATGTGAGAATGGCAATACCTTCCAGTTTATTTCATCACTTCTCTGCCAAAGTAATAACTACAGTAGAGTGTACAAGTTAGGTTTGGCATGGTACCAGTGCTCTGTGTAATTATAATTGTAATTTTTGCAGACCATAAAGCTTCTTAATAAACCTCGTACATGTACGTACAAGTCCATGCAACACCAGGCACTTTAGGTTTGTCACATCTGCGTAACCAACTCCACCAACTCCACCAACCACATGCATGTGATACATAGTGTACAAACGATTCCTAGGAGTGAATCTTCATTCCAAACTGCACAATAGTTTACAGTATATATTAGCAAACATCAAGGTGACAAGGATTCTGGCCTCTGACTTTAATGGCTGTTTAAGCCGCAATTTTAAAAAATCTACGTCAACCAAACATTTGGAAAGTCACCACGTGGAATACGGATAATAAAACGTCTGGCCAACCTGCTTGTAAATGTCACAACGTTCCCAATGATTCTCAGGATATCCAATGTACTAACCCAAGGAAACATTTAACATACAACCTCAAATCAATGGTGCACTGTACACCAGTAATTCCAGAAATTAGCGGTCCATTTTTTTTTCATGTCCCTGTCACATCTGACAAATGATTTTGGAAGTTCAAGACACATTTTCTGATTTTCAGGAGTGATGAATTAATGCAAACAACCTGCCAAACAAATAGTGACAGTTTGAAATCAATTCCGGTAATATTTCCATGCCAAATAACAAAGGTCAGATGTAACAGGGACAAAAAATGTCACACTTTTAGACCCTAATATCTGGAATTACCAATATGTCCATTTATGCATGTACAGATGTACCAATAATATTTAATAAATCAATACGTTTACATGCCCGGAACTCAAGAGCCACCTTAAGCAAATCTATCTAGTTTTGTGAGATTTTTTTTTTTTGTCGGAAGTATTGATTTTCAACCACCAACACACAAGTCAAATGTTAAAACTATTGAAGGCCGTTATGTGGAAGTTAAAATGTATCAGAAAGTATCAGGTGCATATAACAGCCAAGCGTTAACATTTTGGATGTGATGGGAGGGAAGTGTCTGTTATGGGACCCATCCTTAGTCTACAAGTAGACACCAAAGAAAGTTTTCCTATTTCTGTGCTTTTTCTGCTCCCCTCCAAAACTTTGACCCTCTCAATCTAAACTGTTCATGTACATGTGTACATGTGACCAAAAAATATTACACATATTCCCAGAAGTACGGTGCACTACTCTTCTACTCTTAATAAGAAATAACCTACGACAGAAGACAGACAGCTACAGTACACATAACACTAACAGTGGAAATTCCCTGCATTAAAATCTCACACAGCACTCACTGTTTGAGTGTTTTCTGTAATAGTGCAGAATCAAAGGGTTTTTTTACCCCAAAGCTTTCAATACCGGTAGCTTTGGACAAGGCAGGCTATAAAAAGAATAAAAGAAGAACGAAACCTATACATGGCAGGTAGGAAGCAGGGACTTTGAATAAACACTTGAGCTATACATTTACTAACGCTGGCTGCATTTCTCCCCTAGGGCTTGTGATGTTGCTGGCTGAAAGCACTAGTCAAGTAGAAAATTCCAGCCAGTGTACAAAGAGTGAAAGAAGGAAAAACCTCAACTAGCAAAGTTTCAATTTCTCACTTTGATCTCTGGGATGTTCGGCGAGCAGCGCAACATGCATTTTCTTTACCACAAATCATGTTCTCACATTGCTCCAACATCCTCCGGGAACTAGACTGGTTTTGAAGTGGTATACAGATTAGCTGCCATCAGCTGAAGGATTTTAGGTGAAAATTGAACAGCTGAGGAACAACCGAAAATATTATGGTGGCCAATTTGTTTCTGTACTCTGGAAGAGGACTATTGATTCCTCCCTTGAACAGAGAGAGGGTTAGTGGTGGTGGTGTTGTTGTTTGCGGCGATCACAAAGTTGAAAGTACTGCGGCCTGTCAGCCCCACTCCGGCCATGGACATGCAAATCAGCCAGCCTTTTGTTGGTGCGTTCCAACTGGATTAAACCTCTGGGATGTCTTACAGGAATGGAATGCAGGGACCCTTCTAAAGCACGCACCATCGTTAATATTGAAAGGTGTAGGGCAAGGCAAGGAGGGGGTGTCTCAGACTGGATTGAGATGAAGACGCTCTAAAACATTCTGAAACTAGACAGTAAAGAGTGAACCTATTCACCAAAATGTCCAAACATAAAAACCGTTCCCAAACTTCAAGAAAACACGTACATGTACGGTAGGTAATACATGTACATTGTACCAAAGTTCTTTTTTTTCTGACTCCCACGATATTTGTCAAGGATTGGCTCTGATACTCTTGCCTTAAAATTTCAAGCACACAAAGTTTACACACAGATTAATACTGTGAGTGTTCAGGGTTAATAGCTAGGCCTGTCTGTCATGTAAAAAAAACCTGCTGATGACTTTTCACACAGAGGTAGGGCCCATAGCCCTTATTCTTATGGGGGAAGCATACACATGTACATATGACACTTCCTAACAGTACAAGACTGAGTTGCAAAGTGCTAGAGCCAATGTAAAAGAATAAGTACGTTTTGAAGAGTGAAAAGCAAAACTGAAGGGCAACGTAAATCAATAAGAACCCTTAGCTTTTTACACCCGTAAAATGTCCTCTTTCATCAGGACGCTGAACTAAGAGATACATCAAATGTCACACAAGGCTCAATTTGCTCGTCCTAT